GGCTCTGGTCCAGTCCCTGCTCCCTCTGCTCATCCCATCCCTGCTGTTCAGGGGTCATCCCATCCCTGCTGCTCATCCCATCCCTGCTGTCCAGGGGTCCATCCCTGCTCCCTCTGCTCATCCCATCCCTGCTGTTCGGGGGTCCATCTCTGCTCCCCCTGGATCCATCCCAGCTGCGGGCTCTGTCAGTTATTCTGCAGCGGTCAGGGGAGGCCAGGGGGTGAGAGGGGTGTTAGAGTCCCGGGTTGGGGTTTCCTCTTCTTCGGTGGCACGGCGTAACGTGGTCCAGTTACGGTGGACGGATGAGGGCGTCCCCCCAAATAGGAGGGAGGTGATAGACAGAATTATAGAAATGGGCTTCAGGGCTAATGGGCTTCTTTGCCTTTATTGCTCCTTTGGGTGTAGGTGAATACGATGTATCTTTTGTGAGGGCTGATGGCCTGGATTTATTCTGGCAAAGGTATGATGATAGGTGGAAGGGGTCTCCCAGGGTGGTCGGGTTTAACCCCGAGGGTCATCTCTCGTCAGCCTTTGGTAAAAAATGTGACCATTCTGGTGAGGAATGAGTCCATCCCAGCAGCGGACATTATGGTTTGGCTAGGCTGCTATGGAGATGTGTTGAGCCCATTAAGGAAGATACTAGATGACAGGGGAATTTGGACAGGCAGCTGGACGGCTATGATGAGGTTGAAGGTCACTGATAACGTGATCAAACACCTCCCCTCCTCCACTTTCCTTGGGAAAGACAGACTTATCATTTTTTATGCAGGCCAACCGAAGTTATGTCATCGGTGTGGGAGCAAGCAGCTTTTTGCGTCAGGATGTGCAATCCTGAAGTGCTCATTGTGCCAGGGGATTGGGCATCTGGCTAAGGACTGCAACGAAATCCGTTGCAACCTGTGCCTTAGGCTAGGCCACTCATATAGTCGTTGCCCTGAGGCACTCCATAACCAGCCGGGAGGTAAATAGATGAACTGTTGAGGTTGGAAGCGGAAGAGCTTAAAGAGGCCTCCAAGGCTCGGGACGATGCGGTGGCTGTAGCGGCTGCATCGGCGGAGGGATCATCTGTTGTTCCTGATGTTGCTTCCCCTGTGTCTGCCTCTTCCCCCAAGGTTGGGTCTGTTTCTGTGAGTGTGTCTTCCCCTGCCCAAGTGTTGTCTGTGTCTCCCTCTGTCCCTGTCCCTCCGGTTAGGAGGAAAAAAATTGGTGACGCGGCTAAAGGTGCTGGGCTTGTTGGGCAGGGTGTGCCCCCCTCTCCGGTTCTTCTTCCGCGGCATTGCCGCAATGTCCCGGGGGTGGCGGTGGAGGAGTCGGGAGGTGGGAGGGAGGCCTCAAACCCAGATAGGGGAACCCCGGTGGAGAAAGGGGGGGGGGGGTGAAGAGTGGTCTGTAGTGGGAAAGGGTGGGAGAAATAGGACAGTAATTTCCCCCGCCACATCCCTTTCATCTCTGGAGGTGGATGATCTACCTTTAGAAAATAGGTTTGGGACTCTGTCTGGGGATGGGGAGGAGTTAGGGGACTCCCCTGCCCCGATGGAGGAGGAGGCCTCTGGTGTGTCCCTGAAAAGGACCAGGCCCTCAGCTAAGAAGGGGAAAAAGAAGGCTAAGAATCGCCTCTCTCAATTACCTTAATGGCAGTTCCCGCTCCGATAAATGTGGCAACCATTAATGTTGCCAGCATAAAGTCTGTGAGTGCTAGAAGGTGCGGCCTTATTTTTGCTCAGTGATGTTTGTGCTGACATTTTGTTTTTGCAGGAGACCCGGCTTGAGTGCCTTGCCGAATCCACCTGGCAAAGAGGGAGTGGAGGTGTGGTCCCTCCTTCTGGTCTCTTGCGGCCGAGCCTTACAGCGGAGTTGCGGTGCTTTTTACCGGCATGGTAACGTGTCGGCGGGTCATTGAAGTGGAGGTCGGAAGATGCATGGTCTTGGACGTCCTTGTGAAGGGGCAGGAGCTGAGGCTCATTAATGTTTATGGCCCGCAGTCAAAGTGGGACAGGAAATGCCTCTTTACAAGGATTAAGCCTTTCCTTTTTACATCCCGGCAGGTTGTCTTTGGAGGTGATTTCAACACCGTTACTAGGCCCAAAGACGGGAAAGGCTCCAATGACAGGCTGGGATATGACAGCGTTTTTCTAAATGCGATAGTCAGGGAAGCAGGTCTGGAGGATGCCTTAATTAAGTGCAGCCCGGACAGCACGGGGTTCACATTTAGGCGAGGTAGAAGTGAGAGTAGAATAGACAGGTTTTTTTTTAAAGGGGGACTCCGCTTTCTCGGCACCTGTGTGTCAGGCGGTGGAATTCTCTGACCACCTTTTGCTAACTGTGTCTTTGAATGTTGCAGATACTCCACTGAAGGGGGAGGGGTGTCTGGAGATTGAATTCGTCCCTGCTGGACGATGAGGAGGTGAGACGATCCTTCGAGGACTTTTTCCAGGCTCAGGAGACCATCCTGGATTTCTGTGACAATAAGTCAGAATGGTGGGAGCTTACCAAGGTGTGGATTGGCAGGTTTTTCAAGGCCCTAGGTAAGAGGAAACAATTTGATAAATATGTTGCCTACCAACGGTTGAGGAGGAAACTCGATCGCCTTGTCTCTGAGGGTGGAGATTCTGGCGCAATCTCAGAGGTTAAACTTCTCCTCCAGAAAATATCAATATGATCGGCATGCCTCCTTGGTTCTGGAGAGGGACTATGGGAAATACCATTCACAAGACCCTTACCAGAACTGCAAGCAAGGTATAGCGGTTAAGATGATCACTGGTCTGAGAGACAGTACAGGTTCCCTGACAAAATCCAGGGCAGGAATCCTGGAGGTCTCGAGGGCTTTTTTTAAGGATCTTTTGGGGGAGAAGCACCTCGACCAGGCAAGGATGTTGAGTTTCTTGGAGTCTACGCCAGGTCTAGAAAATAATGTTCTGCCCGCGAATTTGACAGATGAGATTACAGCTGCCGAGGTTGCCAAAGCCATAGATAGTCTGGCCATCAAGAAGACGCCTGGGCCGGATGGTTTGACAGCTGAATTTTTTAAGATCTTCAAGTCCAGCTTGGCACCCCGTCTCACGGAGGTCTTTAATAGCTGTCTTGATGAGGGCTCACTCCCTCCCTCCATGAGAGTTTCGGCTGTAATCTTGCTGTCAAAGGGTAAGGACCCTTCGGCGATTGAGAATTGGCGCCCCATCAGCCTTCTTAACGTCGATAGAAAGATTCTGGCCAAGATTCTTTTCTGGTGCTTGTCGTCAGTGGCAGACGAGTTGCTTTCACAACATCAGCACTCTTCGGTCCAGGGCAGAAGTACAATCTCAGCGGTGTTAGCTGTCCGGGAGGTTCTGGAGCGTTGCAGGGCTGATGGCAGTGGGAAGTATTTGCTGGCGCTGGATCAGGCTAAAGCCTTTAATCGGGTGGACCACGAGTACCTCTGGCGTCTCCTTGACCGGTATGGCCTGGAAGGGAGGTTCATTGGATGGCTAAAGACATTGTACAAAGGGGCAGAGAGCTTCATTCTGGTTAACGGTTGGGTTGGGCAGCCTTTCAGGGTAGGCTCAGGGGTGCGCCAGGGGTGTCCGCTGAGCCCCTTGCTTTATGCTTTTGCCATCGACCCCTTCGTCAGGAGGCTAGATGGCGGGGTTTTGGCTGGGGTGCTGGTGGGCGCAACTGGTGAGCCGCCTTTGAAGGTTGTAGCCTATGCTGATGATGTGTCTGTATTTATCTCTGGGGCTGAGGAGGTGCAGGCGGTGGTTTCAGAGATGGAGCAGTATGCGGAGGCATCAGGCTCCAAGATTAATCGTGACAAGTGTGAAGTTTTCTGGATGGGTAGGGATGGTGAGAACTTCTCACTTCCGGAAGCCTTCCCAGTGCCCCAGTTGAAGATCAAAATGTTAGGCATCACTTTTGGCCCTGATGATTATGGTAAAGCAAACTGGGAATCCAGGTTGTCTGATGCCGAGGTCAAGGTGCTGGAAGGGGTGGCGGCTCTCCTTAAGGGAAAGGGTCGACCTGATTAAGACTTACTTGATTCCGGTCTTTTTGTACGTCAGTTATGTCTGTCTCTTGTCAGAGTCTCTCTACACGAGGGTCTACAGCTGTTTTTTTTCCAGCTATTATGGGGAAACAGGCTGAACCTCGTGAAGCGGAATGTGACCTATCGACCCAGGCGGGAGGGTGGCTTAGGAATGGTCAACCCGATCGTTTTCTTCTCTGTAATGTACATTAAACATAATTTTGGTAACATGCTGAAAGAGAGGCCGTCTGCATGGGTAGGTTTACTTCTGATATGGTTTAGACCTTTTCTGAACTGTTGGGAGAGTGGAGGGCCAGTGAAAAGCCTGAGAGTCAAGAATGGTAAGCTCCCGGCTTATGTTGCCCCGAGCTTGAAAATTCTTAGGCGGTGGTGTGTGACGGCGGAGGAGGTCAGATCGCTTCCTGGGAGATCTCTCAGGGAGAGGGTAGTGGCCACCGTTTTTCATGCACCTCTGGCCTTGAAGGATTGCCCAGGCCATAGTTTGCGGGAGGGTTTAAGATTGATAAACATGGAAAGGATTCCCTTGAAATTTAGGGACCAGGCCTGGCTTGCAGCGGCACATCGGGCTGGACTCCGGGCAGCGGCACATCGGGCTGGACTCCGGGCAGCGGCACATCGGGCTGGACTCCGGGCAGCGGCACATCGGGCTGGACTCCGGGCAGCGGCACAGGGCCCCCAGGCGGGGCGGCAGGCAAAGGGCCCCCAGGCGGGGCGGCGGGCACAGGGCCCCCAGGCGGGGCGGCGGGCACAGGGCCCCCAGGCGGGGCGGCGGGCGCCGGGCCCCCAGGCGGGGCGGCGGGCGCCGGGCCCCCAGGCGGAGCGGCGGGCCCCTCAGGCGGAGCGGCAGGCGCCGGGCCCCCAGGAAGGGCGACAGGTACCGGGCCCCCAGGCGGAGCGGCGGGCGCCGGGCCCCCAGGCGGAGCGGCGGGCCCCCAGGCGGAGCGGTGGGCACCGGGTCGTCAGGCACGACAGCAGGCATCGGGTCACCAGGCATCAGGTCATTTGGCTCGCCAGCGGGCACCGCGTCATCTGGCAAGGCAGTGGGCACCGAGTCACCAGGCACGACAGTGGGTTCCGAGTCAACTGGCATGACCGCGGGCACTGGGTCAGACATTAGATCGTCTGGCTCGATAGCGGGCATCGGGTCACCAGGCATCAGGTCAATTGGCTCGACAGCAGGCACCGCGTCATCTGGCAAGGCAGTGGGCACCGAGTCACCAGGCACGACAGTGGGCTCTGAGTCAATTGGCACGACAGCGGGCACCGGGTCATCAGGTACCGGATCGTCTGGCTCGACAGCAGGCACCGGGTCATCTGGCGCTGGATCGTCTGGCTCGACAGCGGGCATCGGATCACCAGGCATGACAGCGGGCACTGGGTCATCAGGCATTGGATCGTCTGGCTCGACAGCGGGCATCGGGTCACCAGGCATGACAGCGGGCACTGGGTCATCAGGCATTGGATTGTCTGGCTCGACAGCGGGTATCGGGTCACCAGGTATGACAGCGGGCACTGGGTCACCAGGCATCAGGTCACTTGGCTCTCCAGCGGGCACCGCGTCATCTGGCAAGGCAGTGGGCACCGAGTCACCAGGCACGACAGTGGGCTCTGAGTCAATTGGCACGACAGCGGGCACCGGGTCATCAGGTACCGGATCGTCTGGCTCGACAGTGGGCATCGGGTCACCAGGCATGACAGCGGGCACCGGGTCATCAGGTACCGGATTGTCTGGATCGACAGCGGGCACCGGGTCATCTGGCATTGGATCGTCTGGCTCGACATCGGGTCACCAGGCATGACAGCGGGCACTGGGTCATCAGGCATTAGATCGTCTGGCTCGACAGCGGGCATCGGGTCACCAGGCATGACAGCGGGCACTGGGTCATCAGGCATTGGATCGTCTGGCTCGACAGCGGGCATCGGGTCACCAGGCATGACAGCGGGCACTGGGTCATCAGGCATTGGATCGTCTGGCTCGACAGTGGGCATCGGGTCACCAGGTATGACAGCGGGCACCGGGTCATCAGGCGTGATTTATTATCAGGCTGGGTAGGGACATCAGGCTGGGTAGGGACATCAGGCTGAAGTGCGGGTGCCGAGGCACCAGGCTGAACCACGGAAGGCAGGTTCTCAGACGGCAGGCTCACCGGTTTGGATACTGGCAGGATGGTACTGGTTGGAAAGAATTTTCGCTTTTTTCTGGTTTTAACTACTGGAGCACTGCAAGTAAACGCAGGTCTGCAAACGAATGGAGCAGCTGAGGACAGAGAAGAGCTGGAAGATGGAACAGAGGAGGGAGCAGCCGCCACAGAGGACCTCTCCACAGGGCCAAAGAAAGGATAGGTGCAGCGAGTGGGAGCAGGGGACTGGTATGTGGTAGTTAGAGTATACTGAGCAGTCACTGGGGGTGCTGTCGTGGATGCAGGAAGAGTGCCTCGAGCAGAGGAATGACGTTGCAAGCTGACTGAGGCTGGTGCAACAAGTCTGACCATGTCTGCAGTATGGGTTGAACAAAGCTGAGCTTACACAAACCCTGTCTGGTCAAAGACTGCACTGCGTTTATACAATCCCTTAATACCTGTGGTGAACATGCAGCATAATGCTCCAAGAAGCAATCCACATCATCCTCTAATAACCATACCAGGGACTCTACCTGGTCTGCACTAAATGGTGGCAAAAAGTCATTCCTGCTTTCAGGGGTACCAGATGAAGCCAACTCTACACAAACCTGAATCAAAGGTTGCACCTCAGAGAACTCTGTGCCCTGATCTACTAGAACATGAGCGATCCGTATATATTCTAGTAGTTGATCCCGGGTATACTCCCTCAGAGTCTGATAAGCATATTCTCTGTCATCAAAAACCAGCAGCGACAAATACACAACCTCGTCAAGATCCATCCTTCCCAGCAACAAGCCAAGATGGCTTCCCTGTGCAGCCACTTCTGGTCAGGATTGGCCTTGGTGTAATGTCAGGGCTCCAGGGTATGACCAGAGGTATGTGAACTGACGCAGGGAAACGCAGGCTTCAGATATGTTATAAACAATATAATTTATTAATACTAACAATACATAAACGCAGTGCAATACTAAAACATAACACAGTGCAAATGAACCAAACCAAACCACCCACAGATAACAATACATACAATGCAAGCGTCGTCAGGCAGGCCGGGTCAATAACAATCGGGCAGGTAGGAACAGGAGGAGCAGGCAGAGAGTAGTCAGGTCACGAGCCGGGTACAGCAACTAACGGGCAGGTAGGTATAGGGGGTCAGGCAGAGAATGGTTGGGGTCACAAGCCAGGGATCAAACAGGAGAAGTCAGCAGAGGTCCGGATCAGGCAGGGTTGGCAACGAATCAGTCAGACAGGAACAGGAACAGGAATGCAGGTAACAAGATACAGGGGACCATAGAAAAACACACACCAAGGCACAGACTGCAGGTCTGGCCATCCCTTAAATACACCTGCAATCAGTCTCAGGTGTTTTGGCTGACTGCAGGGTTGAGTCTCTGATTGCTGAGAGCACTCGCTGGCCAGCCCTGGTACTGCAGCCCACAAGGCAGATGAGTCCCACCATTACTGGCAAGTCCATTCCTGACAACAGCCTTGTAAGCTTCCCATAACGTTACCGAAGAAGAGACAGAACCCGAGTTTAGCTGGAAATATTCCTGAGATTTGCGCTGTAGTTCTGCCTGAATCTCCTTCAGCAAAAGCAGGGAGTCGTTTATTATCCACAAAGAATAGGCCGGCATACAGAGAAGAGATTGACAGACCACCAAAATGGGATCATGATCAGACCATGGAACCGTAAGAATAGAGACAGAGCGAACTAAAGGGAGATGTTTACGTGATACAAAAGCGTGATCAATTCTGGAATGAGAATGATGAGGGTGAGAATAATAAGTATAGTCTTTCCCCCGGGGATGGAATTCACACCAAAGATCTACCAGGTCATGGGTACTTAACGTACGTACAGAGGACTTAGCTGATGCGGAAGGGTCAGGACGTTCTGCTGGATATTTATCTAATGCGGGATTTAACACTAAATTGGAGTCCCCTGCCATCAAGAGAGTACCCTGTTGATGTATAGCCAAGAGGGAACAGAGGTGTGACAGAAAAGGTCCAGGATTAACATTGGGAGCATAGTAGGACATTATGGTAACTTCTATACCTTGGATCGTGCCCTGAAGCAGAAGGTATCTGCCATTGGGATCAGCAATATGCTTCACACAGACAAACAGAGTTTTGCCATGGAAGGCAACTAGCACGGATCTCTGTTTAGTGGGGCCAGTAGCCTGAAATATCTGAGAGTAGCGTGCATCAAAATATTTTGGGGCAGAAGTAGTTGAGAAATGAGTTTCTTGCAGACAAGCAATGTCAACTTGACGAGCCCGAAGAAACTTAAATATATTTACCCGTTTCTGCGGAGAGTTCATCCCCTGAACATTCTGTGATAACCAGTCTAACGACATAGTGATCGGAAGGAAAAAAGGTCAGATCCACCGTGATCCCTGGGAGCCCTGAAAAAAAATTTACAAAAACACAAAAAACACACATGACAAAAGACAAAGAAAAGGAGGCGGAGAAGAAAACAAGAAGACATCTGATATACAAGCAATATATCTATGAAGCAAGAAGATTAATACAAACATCGTAATAATCAACTGTGGGTAAAAAACCCACATAGAGGCTGGGTAGCGGGCGGGACAAAAAAACAGACCACTAGCCAGCTCAGAGGGGGACAAGATAGTCCACCCGGACAACTCGACATTAATAAAAAAAATATATAGAAATATTATGCAAACAACTTAGGCTAATACGTCTCTGGCTTGGAAGAGATAAAAAAACAAAATATCAAAAAATATATTCAAATGTGTCACGCTCCACAATATAAATAATATCAATCATGGACATGTGACTTTAAATAATGCTAACGTGAATAAACCTTGTGCTTCAAACAGTGCAATATCTTGTGCATTCCAATATGTAAATAACGATAAATATATTATCAAAAATTAATATAAAGTCCTCTTTGTGCTTTAAATCTTGCCAGTGCCAATTGATGTGCCGTGCCACACTCCCAGTGCTCAAGAAATGGATGTACGCTCACCTTACTCATTAGCCAGATTAAGTGGCTAATACCACTTTTGTCCCATCAGGACTAAGTAGTGATCTTCATGCTGAGTATTTATTTCCTTATGCGAATGGATAGGCTTGTGCTACCAATTTTCTGCCACCAGGGGTCTCCCTCTCTCCTCACTATCCACACTGAGCCTCAGTGGATGGATGGGGTAAACCTGTATATTACTTCCTCCTGTTTTGGATGCTTTGACATGCTCAATTGACTGACGAGTGTTCACTCCAGTGTCCTGAAAATCCCGTCTGCGGCCCCCTCGTTCACCTAGTGATATCTCTTGAAATCCCGCAGAGAGCTGCAGAACATCCGCTGGAGGCCGTTCACCTAATGGAGGTCCCCTCTGGCGCCCCCTGCCAACAAGCTGGGGCTCAGGCTGTGATGGCTCTGGAGGAGCTGCAGGTCTCGTCGCTGCCCTCGCTGCAGCCTGTGGGGGCTTGTGGCTGTTGCTGTTCCACAGCCTGTACACAAGCTCAGGTGTGTTGGGATCCCAGAGGGGACCTCCATTAGGTGAACGGCCTCCAGCTGATGTTCTGCAGCTCTCTGCAGAATTTCAAGAGATATCACTAGGTGAACGAGGGGGCCGCAGACGGGATTTTCAGGACACTGGAGTGAACACTCGTCAGTCTGAGCCCCAGCTTGTTGGCAGGGGGCGCCAGAGGGGACCTCCATTAGGTGAACGGCCTCCAGCGGATGTTCTGCAGCTCTCTGCGGGATTTCAAGAGATATCACTAGGTGAACGAGGGGGCCGCAGACGGGATTTTCAGGACACTGGAGTGAACACTCGTCAGCCTGAGCCCCAGCTTGTTGGCAGGGGGCGCCAGAGGGGACCTCCATTAGGTGAACGGCCTCCAGCGGATGTTCTGCAGCTCTCTGCGGGATTTCAAGAGATATCACTAGGGAACGAGGGGGGGCAGACGGGATTTTCAGGACACTGGAGTGAACACTCGTCAGCCTGAGCCCCAGCTTGTTGGCAGGGGGCGCCAGAGGGGACCTCCATTAGGTGAACGGCCTCCAGCGGATGTTCTGCAGCTCTCTGCGGGATTTCAAGAGATATCACTAGGTGAACGAGGGGGCCGCAGACGGGATTTTCAGGACACTGGAGTGAACACTCGTCAGTCAATTGAGCATGTCAAAGCATCCAAAACAGGAGGAAGTAATATACAGGTTTACCCCATCCATCCACTGAGGCTCAGTGTGGATAGTGAGGAGAGAGGGAGACCCCTGGTGGCAGAAAATTGGTAGCACAAGCCTATCCATTCGCATAAGGAAATAAATACTCAGTATGGAGATCACTACTTAGTCCTGATGGGACAAAAATGGTATTAGCCACTTAATCTGGCTAATGAGTAAGGTGAGCGTACATCCATTTCTTGAGCACTGGGAGTGTGGCACGGCACATCAATTGGCACTGGCAAGATTTAAAGCACAAAGAGGACTTTATATTAATTTTTGATAATATATTTATCGTTATTT